ATATATATATATATATATATATATATATATATATATATATATATCCTTTCTTTGTCACTTTGTTTATTGCAGTTTAATTGGTTAAAATGTTTTCAATGAAACACATTTTCCTCAATTTAGGTCTCTGTATATATGCTGAACAATAGCCAGGTTGCCTGGCTGGGAATGATGGGAGTTATAATCCAACCTGGATGAGGAAATGCAGAAAATTATAAATATTATATTTGTTCAAAGGCATAACTTTTATCTTTCCAGAACTTGAAGGCTTTTCCCTAAATCAGTGTTTCTCAAGCTAAGCAATTTTAAGATGTGTGGACTTCAATTCCCTAAATTCCCCAGCCAGCATGCAAAGACCCAAGCATGCCATATGGAGAATTTTAGGACATGAAGTACCCACATCTAAAACTGTTGAAGATGAGGAACATCATTCTAAGTCATGATGAAATAATACATATGAGCAGGTGCAGAGTCCATTTCCCGGACAGTGGGCAAGAAACCATAATAGATATGACATAAAACAAACAGCACATACTTATTATCAAATTAAATGCTGATTTCAGTATAGCCTTGGTTTTGCATTGCGGAAATCGGGATAACCATTTGCAAAGAAGCAAATATTTATCTCTGTTTGGTGCCGTTTAGTGGTTGCCCGGATGTTTGCAGCCCTCGCCCGGGACCCGTTTTGCTTCAGAGTTCCCATCATCCCGGAAAGAACGTTTATCTGAACCACAGCGCGGACTCTGCTCGCCCAGCTGGACTGGAGAGTGCGCCCTAAAAGCGCATCAGGACACCCGGAAGCACCGAGGAAGAGGAGGCGGCGGTTGTAGTCTTTCGCTTTATCAAGGAAGCAAGATTCCTAAGTAGCCCCTCGCCTCTACATGACAAAAGGAGCTTCCCGGCCAAAGCAGAAAAGACGATCCGCGGCAAGTATAGCATCTCTAAAGCGAAGCAGAGATTTTTCCCACCGCCACGAACATCCTCTCTTCTCTCCTTTCCCAGTTTAACAAATTAAGTGTCCCTCGCTACGCTAGGCAAGGCATCAGGAAAGTGGTCTAGCCAGGAGGAGGCGGGTTCCCTTTGTAGTTCACGCAAAAGCGAAGTCCGAGGGAGAAGGAGGTCCAAGGGCGCCAGAAGATGCGCGAGCGCACCCCTCCCCTCACCCAGGCCAAGTCCGGCCTGGTCAGCGCTCGGAGCGCTTTGCCGCGGCCGTCGCCTGGCAGCCTCGCTTGCCTGAACACCCGCCCCAATCCCACTGCAATGTTACCCGTAGGAGGAGCGACGGTCCGCGCTCGCTTGCTTGGGGCCCCCTTCCTCCGTGTCACTTTGGGTGGCGCCCGGCCGCTGCCAACTCTCGCTGGGCTTCTCGTCTCGTGGGGCGCGCCTCGCTCATGCGCTTCGCGGCGGTGGCTGTACTTGCGCGCTGTGTGCGTGGAAGAATAGGCAGCCCCCCCCCCTCCCGGGTATGGCCCTCCCCCTTTTGTTCTACGCCGGGCGGAGAGCGCTGGCCACGCAGCCTCTACTCGACCTTTCTCGCTCTCCCTGCCCTCGGGAGTCGCGCCTCCAATCGGTCAAAACAGACCCGCCGCTCGCCAACCAAGCGCCTTCCGCTGGGGAGGGGGGGAGGGTGATATCACTGGAAATACTGTATTATTTCGCGGCAATCCCACGCACGCTTACCTGGGAATCACCCTCATTGAACACGATGGGATATACTTCCGAGTCAAACAAACATAAGGTTGAGATTTACGGTTCTGATTTAGTGTTTGGAGGCTAATTGTTTTCTTCCTTCCCTTTCATTTCTTCCTTCCTTCCTCCCCTCCCTACCCTTTCTGCTCCTTCATTTCTGCTTTTCACTTTTTCCTCTTTATAAAATAGACTGAATTATCTGGCCATGATTAGGGATAGAGAGATGGGATGTCGTCCCACTCAGTTTATCATCCTCAACAGAAAGAGGTTTGTCTAGTCATTCAAACTAAGTGACTTAATGAGGAATCCCCTTGAAATGAAAACAAGAAAAACCTATAGCATTTTTCCTTTCAAGACAAGCTCAACAATCCTCAACAATCTGATATCCTCCAGGTATGTTTAGTATGGTTCTGTCTAACAACCCGATTGTGATAAGAAGGTGGGAGATTAGCTTTTGTTTTTATACTATAGTATTGATGTTGATGTTAAACTTGATGTGTAATTGATATTTTATCTATGTATGTACACACACACACCACACACACAGAGAGAGAGACTTTTTTAAAACTATATTTATTTACTCTCCAATTTTAAAAATTCCAGCAACTTAATATTAATAGCCTGTGTGATTTTTCTCCTTTTTCCACTAAAAATATTCACAACTTCATTAGTAAATGTATTTTTAAAAAGTAGCTTTAAAGATTTTTCTGGACTACTAGGGAAAGGTGTAGTCCTGGAGTTCCATATCAAGTATGTGTAGAAAATTAATAAATGAAATGAACCCACTGTACATATACTCATTGAATTTGTGAAGTGATGCCTCTGCTGCCTCAGGCATTAGTTGGTTAACTTGGTTTGTGATGCCACAGCATAATCAGAAATAATTAACAACATCAAAGCTCTTTTCAGAGAAAAGTTTACTTTTCAGAGAAAAGCAGAAACATCAGTTTGGTTGGCTCTGATATCATGAAAACTGTGCCAAAACAGAATCATATCTTACAACTTCTGTTCTTGCATTAATAGTGAGACCTAAGCAAAACAGCAGGTTAAGATACAAAGGGGAATGGCAGTGGTATGTAAAAAAATTTACATACCACTGTGAGTTAGTGGGAAGATCAAACTGCAGATTCACTCAAGAGCAGCATATTTCTGATTGCAAGTAAGAAAAGTGAGTATCAATAATCAAAAAGTAGCATCAGTGATAATTTATTTTTGAATAGTCTGGGTCACCAATCACATATGCTTCAAGGCTATGCATTCTTCAAAAAAGCCGAAAATGGCAACTGCCTTTGTTCCCTTAACACCTCAAAAATATATGATCATTCTACAGCAACACAACTAAATCAACTCTCTAATATAACCATGGAACTTTACTTGCTTCCTTTACTAAGGAGTGATTATAGTATCTAAATAACAGAGAATCCCATTGCCTATAGCGTGTCCAGTAATTCTCTTTGAACATCCTTACTGTTTGATATTACTTCTTTACGTGACCAATAATGTCCCTATTTCTTTCATTATTATTTTCTTTTTACATAAATGTTTATTTCTCTGTAAATCTGCAAGAGTTGTCCAAAAAGGGTATGTGGAGTCAGGCTCACCTCAAGGGAAAGTTTACCTTCATATCATTCATGAAAAAAAAAGTTGTTACACTTCAGGCTCACTGAACTTTCTTACCACATCACATTTGACAGAAGAGACACAAATGCCACTAGAGGTATATATGTCTGGACTGAGCAGAATGGAGATTCTTGTGCATTTTATCACCCGTCCTTTACCCTCTAGTAGCAAAGGCCAGCATCATCCAGGGATCCAAAAAGAAATGAAGAATCATGACTTTCTAAATCAGCAGTCACCTGCTGGTGGCCCGTGGACCATTGGTGATCCATGAGAAAATTTTGGAGGTTCGCAGAAAAATTATTTGCACTTTGTACTAAATCAGGGGTCCTCAAACTACCTCAAGCCCCGGGCTGGATATATGCAATGAACATTTGTGTTGCTGCAGAGAGTCTCCCCCTTCGGGGTCTTTTTGTGGGGAGCAGAAACTCCGACTTGGGATCTGCTTCAGCCTCCTGGTGCAGTGCTTTGGATGAAGGCTGGAGGGAAGTGCCGCTGGCGGCAAAGAGCCGGAGGGCCTTGCTCCAGTGGGCCTGTATCATGGTCTGGAACGGGCTGACCATCTCAGCCCATTGAGCCTCCAGGCGCCGGTACCTGGCCTTGCACTCCCACAGGTCTTCCCTCTGCTTGGAAAGCCCATGCTTGTAGTCCTTGGTGAGGTGCTTCTGGCAAGCCTCCTTCTCGGTCAGATCCAATTTGAACTGAGCCAGCTATTTTGCCAACTCTTTCTCATGGGGGCTGCTTAGCTCCAACAACTGCTTCCTGTTGGGGTCCTAAGGAGCCCAGGCAGGCAGATGAGGAGTGGCGAGTAGAGGCTGGCAAGGTGTCCCTCGATGTGAGTGACATCGAGTTGGCCTTGCCTACTCAATCACATGACCATCTAGCCACACCCACCCAGCCAATCATTAGGCAGATCATTTAGTTGTCCACGGGATTTAAAATTATGAATTTAGTGGTCCCTGAGATCCAAAAGGTTGGGGACCCCTGTTCTAGATATAGTCTCAAAAGAGCCAATATGTGAGGGATGCCAGGAGTTGTAGAATTGACACACCTGGAAGGGTCCCTGGTTCTCATTTCCAGGACTATGAAATCTTGGATCAACTTCATATCCAGTTGTAAACAACGCTAAAGCTAATGGCTCAATCTGAGATCCATTATTTTGTTCTCTCCTCAAATAGCTTATAATGGAGGAAACCACATTAACCTTTTGGAATGAAAGATCACAATAACAAAGAGAAAGCATGATGGAGAATAGCCTTGAATTGGTGCACATTTAAGATGCTAAGAAATAGCCTCCAGCAGAGAGGGTAGAATTAAAAATAGAAAATAACTTAGACTGAAATAAGTAAGGGAATGCTGGAAGGAGTATTTTAGAGATCTGTATGGTAATAGTAGTAGTATAGCAAAGAGTGGAACTAAAATGAATGCCATAAATGTTGAGAAAAAATGATGAAAATGAAGTAATAGATGCTGTGGGGAGGCTAAAAATGGCAAGGATGCAAATATAGGCAGCATAACTAAAAAATATTAAAATATAAATAGGTTTGCTTATGGAGTGGACAATTTCTTTAGCATATTCATGAAGATGTCCTGAAGACTGGAAGAATAGAAAGCAATGAAAAGGTATCAAGAGTGAATGCAGAAACTGTAGATGAATTAGCTTGTTAAGTAGGCTTGGGAAGATGTTTGGTAGTATTCCGAGTGAAAGGGAGTAAGAAGAAGCAAAATTTAGGAAATGCAATAAGGCTGAATAAAGGGTACCGAGATCCCGTTTTGCTTTGAGAAATGTATGTATGCACAAAATAGAGTTTATTATATCCTTCTTGGTGTAGCTTAATAAAGTAAATAGGCATGAATTATGGACTGTTTTACAGAAATACAGAATGGATTTGCATGTGAATGAGAATGCCTAGGACAGTGATGGTGAACCCTGGCATGTCACAAAAATAGTAGGGCATCTCACCATCATTGGCCTATGAAATTGCTCAGTGCTGATCTGGAAAGAACATGAGGTATGGTTGCACTCTGTTGCTACCTCTGTAACATTTCTTGAACATGAAATATATGTTCCTGGGTCTAGGTAGCAACTATGATAGGACAGGAAATGATGCAGGATGTTTTAAGGAACTGACGAGAACTGCTGAATCTGAAGCACCCTTGCCCACTTCTAAAAATCAATATTGTATCCTTCTCAAACTGAAAATTGGATGCTGATTGAGATATGATGGAAATGCATATGCATGAGAATGTATGATGCAACATATTGGATCAAATGGCAGCAAACAAAAGTAGCCAAATTCAGTTGATCCAAAGAAAAACGGGGTCCACTTGGACTAGTGCTTAGATAAGAGACCACTAGGATATTCTAGATTTGGATTTTTTTATTTTAAAAAACCCTCAAACAATGACAAATCATTTGTCTGTTTCTGCTATAGAACCACATAGAATTGAACTTGGCTCAAAGCAATCTTTGAATTCTGCTTTTAAGGATAGTGATTTGTTGTATTTATTTTACCCTCGTATATCTTTGCAATTGTTTTGTTACAGCTGGCTGATAAGATAAGAACATCAGTGGCCTCAGTGTCTTCCCAGCAGCAAATGTTCCACTGTAAGTTGCCCTTTTTCTTTTATAACATTAAAATATGTTACTCTTCATCTCCCATGCACGAATTTTGCTAGCTTGTTTTATATTTGCTCTGCAAATAAGCATGTATTAACTTCATTGTGGATTCATTGTGATTTTTTTTTTCTGTTTCAAATCAGCTGACAGAAAATGCTTTTTAAAAACCCTTGCGATTGGTGGGGATGGGAGTAAATTTTCATAGTTTTATTTTTTCTCCCAATCTGGACTCTTGGAATGTACTTTGATGAGTTTAGAGATATATAGACAAAGATTTGGCAGAAAGGACAACTCGGGAGTTCTTCCACAGCAACTATCAATTTTCTTGTCTTGTTTCTCTCTTTATCTGGGAATTTCCAGGCTACAGAGCAACTCTCTGATCTCCATTTCTGCACTGAAGTCTTTAACAACAGGAAATAATGGTCTTGTTCTTTCATCAGATCTCTCCAATAAATTCCAGTC